GAGAGAGAGAGAGAGAGAGAAAGTTAAAAACAAAGAGAAATGAAATTCAGTCTCGTATTCTTTGCGCTATCTCAGTCCTGATCTGGGCTGAATATTCTCCAAAACAACGAGAATGCACACCTGCGCCTGGACTCGGTTCCTGCTTATTTTCTAGAATTCTGTGCCATGTGTGCATCTCTTTAGCTTTTGTAGTTAGTTGTGCCAGGCCTTCCTTCTTCAATGTCAGCCACTTAAATCCGCTGGCTGTTTCCAGTTTGTGCTGTCAGAGATGACTTCTCAGAGATCCAGTACGGCTTAGGTCCTTGTCATTTAATGATGTGAAACAAGAAAATGCTGCACATGTGTTGATACATGTTAAATGTCTGTCTCCCGCTGACACCTCTGATGTTGAACACAAGGATACGAATGTGTGAATGACTAATTTCAAGCAGCAAAATGTGATGTCGCTCAAGAAGGTCATACAATAGCTGTTATCCCTCATGATGGCCTCCTCAATCTAATAGTTCTTGTAGTTACTGCACTTTACAGAAGCATTCTGCCTCCATCTCTTCCCAGCTAAGTTCCCATCCTAAGAAGGAGGTAATATGGATGGAAGGCAGTGAAGGATAGAATCGCCCCCTCTGTCCGCAGTGGGATGAGAGTACCTCTGCTGCAATACTGCCTGAGACTCTGCGCTTCGTTCACCCTGGGCTAGCAATCCTCCACTTTGTGAGAAGTGTCCCCTCAATACATCAAAGTACAAAGACTGAATGATGTCTGTGCTTCTTACTGAAGGATTCCTACTTTCAAGTTGAAGGAAGGAATGTCAAGTCATATCTTCTCAACATTTACAAAATCATTGTCCCTGTCATGTCTTAATTAATTCCAAAGAGCCTGTTAAGCCAAAAGTGTCTTCACTACTATGGTATTTAACAAGTTGCTAAAGGCAGAGACAGCTACCCCTCTCTAAATGTAGGATACACCTATAAACCATGTTTGGCTGTATTGTGTAATAGGTAGCACCAGTAACTTCCAACTTTGTGGGAGTGTTGCTCCTAGAGCAAAAGACTCAAATAGCCATTAGGGGTAACTAGGCTCAGAACCTACTTCCAAGAGAATCCAGTAGTTTAATAATAGTTGCCAGGTTTCTGATGTATCATGTGGGACTAAGGAGGGCTGTTTGTGTCAGAAGCCTATGGACCATTGTAAGTGGTCTAGAGACTCCAGGAGGTCAGCTGCCCCTCTGCCACATACCTTTAACTGTAGCACAAATGGATTTTTTCAGAGCTCCTGGCATCTTTAGATCACTCAGGATGCTCACAGATCCTAGCTCCTCATGTTGGATAGAATGCTCTTCATTTCTAAGTGGGCTGATGTGAAAGTATCAGCAGAGAGTATACAGAGTTCTAAATAAGTACGTGTTCTCTCCAGATTGCCCCAAATGACTAGAACATGTTGGTGTTGTTCGAATGTTTTTTGTTGCTGAGTCAGTCTATAGCTGTGCCAGATTCTGGAAATACACAAGCAGACACTGAATTCATGTAAAGTAGAAGCCAGTGGACATAAATAGACTATAGAAAATGGAAGAGTCCAAAAGTTAGGAAGAAGCAGCCCCTAGTGTATCCTTTCCACAGGGAGGTGAGTTAGGAACAATAACAAGCCAAGAGATAAAGACACCCAATGACAGTGAGCCAAAGAAACTGCTCAGGGTCCTGGTGCCTGTCGCACTGCACAGAGATGCAGTGGGGCTTTCTCACTCTAAGAGTGCTTTGGATTTCAAAACTAAGACAGGACATATCCACCAAGAGGATGTTATTCATACAGTGCAGTTGACAGGGGAAGTGCAGGGCAGGATTTTTAAAGTGAAAACAGAAATCTGTCAGCAATTAATTATTAATAGTAGTATAAGGCATTCTGTGGCAGACTTCCTTCTTTCCTTCCTTCCTTCCTTCTTTCCCTCCTTCCTTCCTTTCTTTCTTTTTTGGTTTTTCAAGACAGGGTTTCTCTGTGCAATACACCTTATGTTAGCAATTGTGTTCTTAATCAGTCCAGGTAAAGTGGAGAAACGTTTGAATAGCAAGTTGATTTTCAAAGCAAGGGAACATTTTACTATGTATGGACTCCTACGGACTAGCAATGAACTCGCACACATTATGTGACATATACAATTACCCTTTAAAATACGGGATGTTCCTGCTAGAGTCCTAACTCTTGTTCCAGTTAAACATGAGATTCACCTTCTCATCATCTAACAGCATTAATGAAAATGCAATGTCTTGCCTGAGGACAAATATCCATCTCTGCCATCAGCAGCACTGGAGTCAGGCTGAAGGTCGATATGTCTATAGGCTGGAGGATTCCATGATCTTAGATGTGACATAGAATCATGACTCCCCAGAGTACCAGCAGCAGTGCTTCAGGCTAATGCTTTGTAGACTGGGGCCCACTATATCAACAGACAGAGCACGGGGTCCCCAGTTCCAGTAAGAACTGGAATTAAGCTCATGCATAAAACAAGGGCAGTCTGCCTTAGCACTCTGGGAGTAAGGTACATGCTGATTTTCTCAAAGGCAGATGGCGGCAGAATTACCAGGGACACAAATGTAGTGCCTCTCTTGTGAATACAAGTGATTCTGTAGCCAAGAACTTGCCTAACAGTCACAGACTAGAGACCAGCCTTCTCTAGAAACCTTCCCCTTTGATACTGTGAGTACCATGAGCTTTCCCTTATCCCAAGAACTCCTGTTTGAGAGTGGGGAGTAGGGGGAGTAATGGGAAACAACCCCACCAATAAGGAGAACTTTCAAGGAAGGAAGTAAATCCAATAGAAATGGCTTAAGTGGGAAGTAGGTGGAGACGATCATAGGGAGGAGAAGAAAGAACCTGAGTGCTCACTGGAAGGCAGTCACTGTTCCTGGGTACGTTTTGTATTCCATCTCAGTAAATCTGTACAAACACCCAAAGGTTAAGGTGTTTGAATTGGAAAAGAAAGACCTGTGGACAATAGTTTTTAGCTACATAAGCAAGCCGTCGCAGGCTGGGTTAGGAACCAGAACACTCTTTACTTAAAGCCGTGTTCCTGATCACTGAGTGCACTGATTTTCTACTAATTAAATGATAACCCCCATCTTGCCACTGTGCAGCTGAGTTGGTCTTTATCATTTCAGTTAATTTGTCTATAATGAGCAAAGTTGCTATAATTATCTTAATTTCTGTGGATATTTTCCCCCAGACAACTGAGTAGCCAGTTCCTGAAGGAGCAGTACTGATCTAGAAAAGAGGTAAGAAGGGAGAGAAAAAAAAGAGGTAAGAAGGGAGAGAAAAAGTTCCATTTCTTCACTTTCCATACTCCCTCCCCTGCCCACCATGTCCTGGGACCTGATTGGTTAAGAAGTCATAATGACTCACAATGGAAGTGAGTCTTGGTACTACATACAATGGGAAGTTTTTGTCTTGGCTCCCTCCATCTAGGTTACTCTCGATTTAGGACTGAAAACAGTAAGTAGAGAGTGCTGGGAGATGGACTGAATACTGGGTTTAGGTGTAGATTCCTGGAGCTGTTCTTGGGACGTTCAGTTATCTTGCCCTCAGACTCTTCCTTAGATCATGAAAACTCTTTTCATTTTAGTTTCTCCTGTGGTAGGAGATATCCCAACGTCCTAACAGTGTTTATTCCATTTTTCAAGCCTAACTGGACTTCAGAGTCAATCATCCAGTGAGTTTCGGGAGACCTCAATCTCAGGTAAGATTAGCTTCTGTTTCCTTCTGAATAAGAGCATTTTCGAGATGAAGCTGGGCTTGACCTTACTCTCCAGCAACTCTGCTTCATTGCCTTGAGGACCACCGTCAGGTTCCCAGACTATTTTTGTGTATTTCATTGCTTGGTCGTTTGTGATTGGTTTGGGATGCTTTTCCTGTGACTGGGTCCAGTGCTAGTGATCGTTCTTTTAAAACAGTGGTTCTTGCCGGGCGGTGGTGGCGCACGCCTTTAATCCCAGCACTCGGGAGGCAGAGGCAGGCGGATCTCTGTGAGTTCGAGGCCAGCCTGGGCTACCA